CTACAATGCTCTGGAAAGCTAGAAATTCTGAGGCCTTCACAGTGGGATTCTCTTCTACTTGTTGTCTTAAGAGCCCAACCAGATCTGCGTCCGCCACATCAAGATTTTGACTCGAGATTAACTTTGCATATAGTAACGACTTCCATTCATCCACCATTAGTCAAGAAGAAGAAGATGATGAAAAACTTGAGAATTTGTCGTCCGATAACGAAGATGAATAGTGATTTTTGAGCGATGTGAGAAACAGTAAAAATGAAATAAAAAAAATCGGACGAGCATTTATAGGAGGTGAAAAAACCCTTCAACTACTAATCGGAACAAAGAGATGTACAGATTAAGATAAATCGAACAAAGGGTTGTCCGATTTAAACTCACACACATAACTAAGTCACTAAATCGGATAGCTCAAGGAGGTAAATCGAATAACTTCTTCATCCGGAGAAACAAATCCGGATGACTCTTTGAGCGATAAATGCTCAAATCGCAGGACTCTTCAAGCGATAAAGACTCAAATCGCACAACACTTCAAGTGATTTAGACTTAAATCGCACAACTCCTTAAGCGATTTACCACTAGTTCAATCATATATCTAATCTTATCCTGATAAGAGTTTATCGAATAGTCTTTTGTCCAGATTAGTCTAAATCGAACATTACTTTGTCCAGATATAAGTTTATATCGAACAAATTATTGTCCAGATTAGACTAAATCGGTCAAACACTTATCCTTTTAAACTGTAAATCTTTCAAAAAATTAGATATTTTAACAGTACCTGTAAGAAATTTTTTAACAATTAGTATCATTCAGATATGTTAATTACCCCACAAAAAATGAATCAGTAAAATAAGAATAAAATTCAACACTCCCCCTCAAATATAGATTCCACTATCAAAAGATTTTAAATCACATTAAAGAAAAATTGAAATACTGATTTGTATTAAGAAATACAGATATTTTGAAAAAATGTATTTGACTTAAACACAGTTCAATAAATTGAACTGTTTTAAGAAATTTTCAAATTTAACATTCCAAACTTAGATACAAGAAAGCTGAAGCGTTTTTCATCTAAAGCTTTCGTAAATAAGTCAACTAGTTGAAATTCTGTATTTACAAAATATAATTCAATGGTTCCTTTTTCAACGTGATCTTTAATAAAATGATACTGGATATCTATATGTTTGGTCTTAGTTTGTTGAACAAGATTACAAGATATAGCAATTGCGCTTTTTGAATCACAATAGATGGGATTTTTATTAAAATAAAAACTGTAATCTCTGAGTTGTGTCTGCATCCAAAGTACTTGAGAACAGTAGCTAGCAGCAGCTACGTATTCTGCTTCAGCGGTAGAAATGGATACACAGTTTTGATTCTTGTAAGCCCCTTACAAGTTTGTCTCCCAGAAATTGTACATGACTCGAAGTACTCTTCCTGTCCAACATACACCCTGCGTAATCTACATCTGAGTATGTTGTTAATTCAAAGCTAGTACCCTTTGGATAGTAGAGTCCAAGATTGGCAGTCCCTTTCAGATAACGAAAAATGTGTTTAATGGCACTTAAATGGGACTCCTTTAGATTAGCATGATATCTAGCACAAAGATGTGTTGAAAACATAATATCCGATCTACAGGACGTTAAATACATTAAAGAACCAATCATGCCTCTGTATGTTTTCTGATCTACAGTTTTTCCAGATGGATCAGCATGTATTTTTGAACCATGAACCATAGGTGTTTTACTAGATGAACAATTTTCCAAAATAAATTTTTTCAGGATATCAAAAATATATTTTTCTAGACAGATAAAAATTCATGAAGATAATTGTTTGACTTGAAGTCCTAAAAAGAAGTTCATCTCACACATCATACTCATTTTAAAACAAGAAACCATTAAGGGCAGAAAAGTTTTTGCAGTATTTTGGGTTCGTATCTCCAAATATTATATCATCTACATAAATTCGTATCAAGATAATATATGATTTTTCCTTTTTAATGAAGAGAGTTGTATCAATGTTACCTTTCGAGAAACCAGATTTTACCAGAAATTCTGATAGAATATCGTAACAGGCTCTCGGTGCTTGTTTAAGACCATATAAGGCTCTGTCAAGAATATATACATGATCAGGCTTTGACTCATCCACAAAACCTTCCGGTTGAGCAACATAGACTTCTTCTTTGAGAAAACCATAAAGAAGTGTTGTCTTGACATCTATCTGATACACCGTGAAATTCTTGTGTGCAGCGTATGCCAAGAACATCCTTATAGCTTCGATATGTGCTACCGGGGAAAAGGTTTGATTGTAGTCAACACCTTCTTGCTGATTGTATCCTTTAGCGACAAGTCGGGCCTTATTTCTGACAACAAATCCGTCTTCATCTTTTTTATTCTTGAAAACCCACTTTGTACCGATAATCGTCTTATTACGGGGACGCGGAACCAATCTCCACACCTTTAACGCTTCAAACTGATTCAGCTTCTCTTGCATCACAATTATCCAGTCCGGATCTGCTAAGGCTTCAGACACATTAGTTGGTTCAATATTACTTAAGAAAGTGGAGTAGATATGTTGGTCACGGTTCTAGCATCTTCCTAAATCGAAACGTGGCGCTGGCTGCTACGCTATAAGGAAAATAAAGTTGCGCCTTCACCAAGGCAATTGCTTTTGATGTAGTGGGTAAGCGCTTGATCCTAACAATTGGTATCAGAGCAGGTCACGGGTTCGAATCCCATGGTGTGCATAATATGCAAGGAGTGCATAATTATGTGAAAGGCGTGCTGCGCGGCCATTGACTTCTAACGAAGCTCTTATTAGTACCGGCAGATGCTGGGGGGGGGGGATTGTTGGTCACCGTTCCAGCATCTTCCTAAATCGAAACGTGGCGCTGGCTGCTATGCTATAAGGGAAATAAAGTTGCGCCTTCACCAAGGCAATTGCTTTTGGTGTAGTGGGTAAGCGCTTGATCCTAACAAGAGACACTCATTTGCAGAAGCAGACCGAGTACGAATAAAAGCAGTTGGATCACCAATAATTTGATTTATTGGATGATCTCTGGTCCACTTTGTGCTATAAGGTAGGGGAATATAAGAACTTTGATCAGAATTTTGATGAGTATAAGTATTGGGGGAATTATCCACAACAGTTTCAGGTAAAGGTTCATTGTTTGGAACTGAGATAGGCTGAATATCTGACTGAGGTAAGTTATTTTCATCTTGAACAGCTGACACCTCTGGAAAATTAATATTTGAGCCCTCTTCACACTGAACTGGACAATCAGGAGTTTCCATTTCTATCTCTTCATCAACATCTTCTGTTTCTTCTTCAGTTTCAGTTACTGGAACAACAACAGATGGACCAGATAATTGTTGTTCAGATTGAACATCCTTGGACAAATCATTTGAATTATTAGGTTTATTGTCAAAGTAATCATCGTAAAAATTCTCAAACAAAGAATCTAAATTAGAAAGATTAGAATCTGAAGATTCATTGATATCTGCTTTCAACGAAGTATTAATTATCAGATCGGGTCCTGAACCGTTTTGTTCAGAAGCCACATCAAACACTTCATCGAATGAAACGTTGACGCTCTCATTGACGATTTCGTCCTTTTGTTGTAGACCCTGTATGCAGCAGATGTTTTTGAGTATCCTATGAATACAGCTTCATCATCCTTCGCAACGAACTTAGCTCTTTCCTCTTTGTCATTAAGAATGAAACACCTGCAACCAAATACTCGAAAGAATTTGATATTAGGTATTCTTTTATTTATAATCTCATATGGAGTTTTACCAAACATTTTATGAATTAGAGATCGGTTCTGAGTAAAACATGCAGTAGCCACAGCTTCAGCCCAAAGAAATAATGGAAGCTTTGAACATGTCAAAAGTGTACATGCCGCTTCCACAAGAGTTCTGTTTTTGTGTTCAACGACATCATTTTGTTACGGTATACGGGCTGCTGAGAAGGTATGTGAGATACAATGAGATTCTAAGAATGAGCCGAGAATCATGTTTTTGAATTCAGTTTCGTTATCAGCTCTGATTTTCTGAACTGTCAACTGTAGATTGATTTGAACATTCTTCAAGAAGGAAATAATAGTCTCAACTGCTTCATCTTTTGACCTCAGAAAATGAATCCATGCATATCTGGAATAGTCATCAACAATGACTAGAACATACTTCTTCCCATTAATGCTTTGTACTCTCATAGGACCACAGAGATCCATATGAAGTAAATGAAGAGGACGTTCGGTGTTGAACTCTGTTTTAGAGTTGTGTGAAGCTTTCCTCAGTTTACTTAATTCACATGTGCTGCATACATGATCTTTATGAAACTTTAGATCTGGAATCCCTTTTACCAAGTTGTCACATACCAACTTGTTCAAATTCTTGCAGTTAAGATGTGAAAGACGC